GCAGCTGCTGCTAGCTAGGACGACCCAATAATATTGTCACGTATGTATCAAGACAATTATCCAAAAATTCCCAATGAATTTTGACTGCGTATAAAATACGTTTGTCATTTGACAAAAAATGATTGATAATTAATGGGTTTGTAATTTTAAGAATTGAAAGTTTATGGATGGCAATGTGGCGAGTTTTTCCAAATCATTTTCGTTATTGAATATTCGAATATTTATCAACTCCATACTCACGTGGCTGGAGGTTTTGCAACACCGTCCTCGTATATAATGTGGTGGCGGGTACTTGTGGGTTAATACTCTCCCTATATTTCTAATATTACTATACCTAGATTTTAACATGTAGATATTTGATTATAACACTAAAAGACATTAATAAATCTTGAAACCAATAAAAATACAACTATTACATTTTTAATATGAATTCAAAGCTGTAGAATCTTAAAACATTCATTAATTCATATGACAAAGCATAAGAAACAAATATGGAGATTTTTACGTACGGAAGAGTGTGAGAATTGAAGTACATAGCCTCTTGGTTCGAAAGAGTGAAGAACGAACTGAGATAGGTAAATTAGGGTTTGTTTTGGATGACCACTCAATTACATTTCTAACTCTTTATTTTTTTTTAATAACCCCTTCTATTATTGTATGTGTAAAATTAGTCTTCACATATTCATAATCATATAATCCGCCCTACCAAGAGTAGTTCTTTATATATGAAAAATATATGTGAATTTTACACATACAAGCCCCATACCCTATTATTGGAATTTCCCATGTTAATTGGGTTGAAAGCTAGTCAGATACCCACGAGTATGGGTTTAAATATCATCCATAATTTTTATGGGATTGTGAAATGATAATGATGATTTATGTGTACCCGAAAATTATGATGTATCATGGACAATGGTAGAATGATTAATCTACTAAAATCTGTCATAAAAAACTAGATTTATTAGATGAACTGGCACTCCACATAATATTAACGTTCTTTGGTCTGATATTCAAATTCTTACAATCCTCAATACATGAAGATGTTCTGTTGTTCTTTTGACATATTGTGGGCTTGTACGATTTATTTTATTTTATTTCAATTCAAGGTTCGTGCCTTAGAAAAAATAATTGGATCGGTTATTGTTTGAAGAATCGTGCAACTATTTAGTATAAGGTTCATTCTTAATCTGTTAATCATCTTTTACCAATTCCAGTAGTTGGTTTAAAGTCGCAGCAAGGTTGGGGTGGGGTGACAAATTTTATTATTGTTTGTAAAAAATTGTGGTTAATTGCTCTGCTTTTCCTTGGCTGCTATTTTGGACAATATTAAAATGCCAATTATAAAGGTCCACTCAAGCAATCATTTAGCGTTCGTGCGTGCGTACTTTATAAATATAAATACCACCTACAAGGACTAAATATTATTATTATTATTATTATTTTTATAAGCTTTTGATTTTCCCTTTAATCTTTTTAGTGAACAAAGTTCAAGATTTATTGGTCGGTCTCTATGCATGATTTTCTTAATTTTTGTACCAAGTGAGTGAGTGTGGAAGTTAAAGTGTCTTTAACTATCATGTCTCGCGGGACTGAGAGCACAGAGCAGGGATGGGTAATGGGTTGGTCCATACCAAATCGGACCATACTGAATCGTATGTAATATGGTCCGATCTTTTGTCTTATGAATTTTATAGAGATTGAAGAAAAATGGTTCGATTCTTGGCCGTAAGATATTTTTCACTATTAGACCGCATTTCTCCTGTCTGAAGTTGGTCCGATCCAGTTTAGACCGAACCGACGCCCGCCACTACTTGAGAGTACATGGATCCTCAAATTAGTATCATACAGTTGTTAGTACGTGAGAGTAATATTTTGAGCTATTGAATTCTTAAGGTACATAATTGACTCAGATATGCACGAAAATTACTTATGAAGTTGCACTCGAGAATGAATAGTTATAATTATGTGTTGAAGATGTATTTCCAAATGGACATGCATGAAGGAGCGGTTAAGAAATGTGAATAGTTTGTAAAAAACTAAAGGAATGTCCTTGAAAAAGGTAAGTGAAATTAATTCGAATTAATTCTCCGTATTGAAGGAAACGTTTCTTCAATCAGAATTAGTTGACCGAATTAACGAAAAGTTACAATCAATTGGATTGATTTTCCATATTGAAGGAATCTTTCATGATCATATTAATTACCCATACTAACGGTAAGTTTCTATCAATCGGATTGATCTCTGGTATTCAAAAAGGAAACTTTTATCAATCAGGATTAATTGTCTGCATTAAAGAAAGGTCTAATCAGAAGTTATTACTTTTGATTTCATTCCTTAAGAAGATTCTCAATCATCCACCAAGAGGGTAAGTCTGAAGGTCTTATCGTATATAAATAGGAGAGTTGCCTAACCCTAAAGAGAAGGGGGGGGGGGGGGGAGACACGAAGAGAGTGAGACTCAAAGAGCTCTTGTTTCGCACAAGTCGAGAGAAACTAAAGAGTGGTTGTTTTATCCTGGAGACGACCGGCTGATAATCTGTCATGCGCATTACGAGGCAATGTCGCGAACGTCTTAAAGAGAGCGACTTAGTCCGCGACTCAGCCAGATTCGGTAACCAAATTTCGATTGTTCGGTTCCTAACAGGAGCTGCCACCATTAGCAAAAACAAGCACAGAAGGAAATTAAACGAACGGGCATATAGCAATCATGTCAACCATGCACAAAAAGTTTGTGTGAATAGGTTAGAAAGCTATATATGTGAAGTCTAAAATGGAAGCTCGATCTGGATTTTACACTCTCTCTCGTAGAATAGGTTACCGGCTGTTATTGTTTGTTTCGCTATCCTTTGGCGGTGTGGAATAGGAAGTATTATGAGACGATGATTATAATGACAAGGAGAGGGGGACATGAGGAATATAACCTTAACAAGTAAAAGTTGGGAATTTCCAATGTACTAACAACGACTCCTCTCTCTCTGTTTTTAGACTAATAAACATACAAAAGGACTCATCTAGCTAGGACAGAAACCGACTTTCTTGAAAGAAAAGGGTATCCAATCAAAAGAAGACCTAATTAATTAAAAGGTGATTAATTTAGCTAGCTAATCTATGATCAACTCATAATCTACGGACCACACCATAGCTAGGGCTAGTTTAACTAGCAATTTTGGGAGCAATAGGTTACTGAAACTAGGTCTCTCTAATCGTGTATATAATTATTTTTGTGTTTGTAGCTATAGGGATAAATTACAAGGAGATGAGTCAATCAAAACTAATTAAATGCCATTAGACATGGCAAAAATAACCATACCAGTGTATATCCGTCTCAATCCGATCTAATCGATTAGAGCAAAATCAGAATTCGAATATTTTTTTCTCACTATGCAATCCGAACCCACTCAATTATTCACATGTACAAGTATTTTGTTAAAAAAGAATCATTAATTTCTCAACATATTGATATTGAAATTATTTTAGATAGGATAATAATACATATCCACCCCAAACCCTCCTTAAATGCCGCTTTCAGTCAATATAATTGCAGCGTTTCTACCAAAAAAATATAATTGCAGCGTTGGCTTGCTAGTTGCTAGTTGCTATGGTCAAAAGTGAGTAAGTGAATGGAATCATTATCTCTTTAAAAGAACAAGTTACAACTTTACTGTTTGGTAGAGTCACGTCTTAACACTGTTTTTCTTTGCCACATTTTTACTGCGTTCTCGTCTGTAATCATTGCTTACCTCTCTCTTTCCTCTCTGCTTTTAGCCTGGGTTGCTTCGCCAGCGACTTCTCTTCTCACTGCAACTTATCGGTTTTCGGAACTCCTCACCTTTCCCCTGGAAATGACAGGTCTGGCGCTTCCTCATCTGTTCCTTTCCCCACAAAAGTCTTGCTTTGCTTTGCTACCTTTCATTTGTGCTTCTTACAGACTTTTCCTCTTCTAGCTTGCTTGCTCGCTTGCTTTCTTCTATTGCTCTTCCATGGTGACCCATAAATTGCTTCTTGACCTCAGCGACTCCGATGGCCCTCAGACTCTTCTGAAGCTGCGCCTTCTAAATGCGTGGGGGTCTTATGGCCTTAAGAATCCTACATTAATCTTCAACTACTGCACTCTTTGGAATGATGAGGAGGTCAGCGCTGCTTTCCTTTTTATTTTGCCACGTAATCTTGCGCCTCCCTTCTTTTTACAGCCCTCTGAGGTTCGCTTCTTTTCTGGCCAGGGTACTTTGATTCAGGGCACGGCTCCTTCGGAACTCACGCGCCATTTCTCTCCGCTTCTGCAGTTGGGTAGCGTTTACTTCGTGAGCAATTTTCGCGTCAAGCCACCGGCCCCTTCGTATCGTTCTTGCTCTCATAAGTTGACCATCATCCTCTCTGCCGCTACACAGTTCGAAGACGTGACCCGTTCGTCACCTTCATTCTGGCCGGATGCGTTCGAATTTACCCCTTTCAGCTCGCTTCATTCCCGCATACGTTCATCGGTTTATCTAACAGGTCTTGTACTGTGTTCTTTACGTCTCTTGCTGTCCGTTCTGCAGTGTACTGCTTACCATCCTTTCCTTTCTTCTCTTGCTTGTGCCTCTGTCAGATGTCGTTGGCGCTGTTGTTAGCATAACAGGCGTTTCTAGCACTGTAACTTCATTCGGTACCACTGTGCGGAGTGATTTGGTGCTTCAGAATGAAAAGTATGTTACAGATGCACACCACTGCTTTATCGACTGTAATACATTTGTTACTTACTTTCGTTGCTTTTTTGCCCAGTCACATGTTTCTTGATATCAGTCTGTGGAGTGATATAGCTCGGAATCTCAATGGTCAGGAACTGGCTGTCCTTGGTCGTTCTGGGCCAGTTATGCTTGCTGTTTGCTCACTTCGAGTCACTGGCGCTACGAAAGGTCTGCATGTACCTTACCGCCGCACTATTCTCCCTTTCATTTCCCTTCCTCTTTTCCTTATTACCTTTACCCCTCTTGTAGGAGGTTACTCTCTTACCAGTACTCCAGGCACACGTTGTGTTCTCAACCCTGTTTCTGAAATGGCTCACCTGGTCCAATCTGTGTATGTCTTTTCTTATCCTCCTCATATTTGTTTTTCCCTTTGCATCATCAGCTGTATTTTTGGTTACTGCTAATTTGTTGCGTTCCTTGCTTTCGCTTTCGTTAGGTTCTTTGCCAGCACTAATACATGTCAATATTACCCTCCGAGGTTTGCAACTCCTAATGAGGCAGCGGCCTTCGAAGCTGAATGTACGAAGACTGTGTCACAACTACTTGCCTTGTGTTTTCCACCTGTTGCCGATGTATGCTTTTTCCCATTTTGCTCTCCAGCTTACCTGCTTCTGTTCCTTTCACTTCATTTGTTTGTCCGTCTAATCATTTCTTTCGTTTACTTTTTTTTAGTCTACGCGTTACCATTGCTCTGGTCGGATTGTTTCGGTTGATTCTTCTATGCAGTGGTACTACTTGGGTTGTGCGCTTTGTTCCAAAGCAGCCATAGATTATGATGGTGTTGACAAATGGTGTGATGACCACCGTCGTTTGGTGCCTCAACAAACACAGAACTTGTAATTCCTTTCTTCATTCTTGCCCCCATACCTTTTACCTTTTCTCGTGTCCTCAGATGCTCCTGTACACGTTTTTTGCAGTTACAAACTTCGGGTAACAGTTGATGACAACACTGGATCAGCAGCTTTTGTTCTGCTGGGTAGGGCCGCTGACCTTCTTGTGGGCTTGACTGCTAACGATCTCTCTACTAGGTTTCCTTACCAACGCAATGTTCTTCCACAAGAACTTCTGGCTCTTGAAGGGCGAGACTTTACTTTTGACGTCCAGCTTCCAAAACCGGAATATGGGGCTCGTGGCCCGCCAGAATTCACGGTCCTTGCTGTCAATGAGCAAGAACAGCCAAATTCCTGCTCACCAACTCTTGGTCGCCGGGCAAGAAATGCTATGCCCCATACACCACCTCCTAACAGGTTGTTTTAATGTTCTTCAGTTTGTGGTGCAGTTTCCTTTTGTTCATTACTAATTGCTGCTTTCCGTTGCAGTCCTCACTTGATGCCTCTTACTTCTCCATATGTTGTTCCAACAATGCAGAACGCTTCGGTAGAGCATGGTTCTTCTGTTGCTTCACCAAGGTTATGCTTCAATTTTACATGTCCTCTTTTCTCTGGTTGTTGCTTGTCTTTAACTCGGGTTCCTTCTTAAATTTGCAGTGGGAGTTCTCAGCTTGCATTTTCTACTCCTCCACGTCGCCCCTATAGCAGGTTGTTTTTACAATCCACTTTGCTTTACAAAATTAACAAGCGCTTCTTTGGACGCTGTCGTACTCTTTCCCTATGTGTTGACATTTCTTTTCCATGCGTTGTTTACCATCAATTCCCAGTAGGCGCATCGCTGCTGTATCCTCACCCTCATCTGCTGCATTGGGAAGGTTGTCTGTTTATTGTCTGCTTTGCTAGCTTAGTGCTGCTTATACACGTTCTGATGTCGTTTCCTGTCATGTTTTTTTTCAACAACAGTTCTGTAGCTTCTTCTCCTGAACTTGGTCGTACTGAGATTGTTTCCTATGCGCGGTCAGTTTCTTGCCTTTTCCTGTGTTACCTCAATCGTTCGCCTTTACGCCTGCTAATATTTGTCAATGACTCTTGCACACCCGTTTTAACTGCTTCTTAGCCCTAGAAGTGAGGAAGTGCCCCCAGAAACTGCAACACAGCGATCCCCACAGTACCTTTCCTCCTGTTAACTTACTTACTAGCTTTACGTGTCTCTTTCTTTCCTTGCTGAGCATCTCTGTATCAGGGAACTTGCTTCGGACACTACAGAAGCTACTGTGCAGAACAAGAACATTAGTTCGCAGAAAGCGAAGCCGAAGAAACCATCTGCTAAGAAGAAGTCTCTCTGCCCTTTATTACTTGCTATGTTTCTTGTACCAAATTTACATATCCTACATTAGGTCTTAATTTCCTGTTTAACTTGCTTCTGTTTGCATACTGGCAATTTACTTGGTTTTTGTGCACCCTTCGTTTTACATGTGGCCTGCTTCCTACCCATTCCCCATTGTTATTTCGTTTTACCACTTATTTGGTTGTTAACTGTGCATACGCCACTATTGCCTCCTGGGATTCTTTTACTTATCATAGTATCCTGCATTGTACTTCGATTTACTGTCCTTACCTTATACAACTTTGTTGGACTTTTGCAGGAAAACTGGAGGTGCAGGTGCTGCGCGTCGTCCTGCAGTTACTCTTGAAGAAACCGATGTTCCGATATCGTCCCTTCAGATCCCTGTTGGACATCCTTTGCCAACCGAATCGGCGAATCCTGACTCTGGAAATCTTAATGCCCTCGGTGTCAATTTGCAGACAACAACAATTCAGCCTTTGTCACAGTATGTGTCGTTCTAATTCTTTGCTTGCCAGTGTTGTCTGCTCCCTAGGATTCCAGTTTGCATGCTTTTGGTGCTCTTCTAAACCTGATAAAAAAAGGTTTCCAGTCTGCACAGAATACTTATTGTTGACGCAAAAAAATTGCAAACAAATGCTTTACAATTCAAGTTGGTCTTCTGCTTTTATACATGGTTTTAAGTTGTTACCATAAAATACAATAGCCGATGGATGGCCTTTTGTATCCCTTTCTTCGCCCTTCGCTAACTTACACGTGTTCTCAATGTGCAGACATACAATGTTACCTTTCAGTGGCCATACTAATTATCTACGAATGTTCTACCTTTTTTGTTTATACAGAACAAAATAAACAAATAGTTGTGGCTTCTGCTTACTTGGTCAGCTTCAAATCAATTATTTTCCCACAGTTGAAGTAATAATCGTCTTTACTTTAGGGAGATTCCTTGTGCAGTTTGTTCTTTGTTGTTAGTCATTATCTTATTCGTGCTTTGCAAGTTGCTCCCGCATTGCATAGGAATGTGCATGTTCTTTCATATAGATGTGTGTTTTACAGACCTACTTCCTTTGTCTCCTTTTCTAGGCAACCTGTGTCTATAAATCCTGCACCTGTACGTCGCCGTCGCTTGGTTGTTTCTTCTGATGAAGACGAACCTGTTGTCCCTTTGGAACTGCAAGACTTGGACGTTGAACTTCCACTGCAAGAACAGGCTATTGAAACCTCTTCGACTTGTCCTGTTCCTACCGTTGACTCTACTTTGCCTTCTCCTCTTCTTGCTGGCCAAGAAGTTCCGCTGCTTCCAGTGGGGAAAACTAATCCTGGGAGGGCAAAGCGAATTAGGACACCGTCTGCAAAGGCCATTGAAGCATCTGTGGATGCCTCCAAGAGGAAGCCAAAAACTCCCAAATCGTCTGCTAAGGAACCTGCTAAGAAGCAACTGTTTGCTGATTGACCGTGATTCGCATCATGCGAGTGCTAATGTAACATGCTTGTGCAGTGCTGTCCCTCCCTGTCTTTTGTATAACTTTTAAAGGGAAACACTCTTTAGTGAGTAGTGCACTATGTACTTTTGCCTTTTGTGTCTACATTTGCAGCCCTTGCCAAACTTTGTGGTTTTCCATTACTGGCACCACTTCTACCAATCTGGTCTGCTATGACATTTGACTTGTATTAGTTACCTCTTGGTCCAGGTTACCCCTTGCGTACCTGCTTTCTAACCAGCTCTATGTCGTTAATATAAAGCGACATTTTGGCATGCCCTTCTTTAAGTGGCATAGTATTGCGCCCTACGATGATTTCTACTATTGGGCTGAAGCCGCTGAACTCAAATATCCGGTGGTCGCGACCTTCACGAGCATTTTTGTTGCTCAGCCTGAACCGAGATGTGCGCCTCTTAATCTCTCTATTCGTTGTTATGCCTTTTACACAAATCTGTGCTGAAATACAATTTACCTGTGTAGATCAATTGGTTTTAACCAGCACAAAGGCAACCCGTACAATTAATGGTTCGTATTCACATCGTCACAGGACATTGATGAACAGGTTAGCTGTGCCTTACCTGTTTATCTCAAATTGTGTTGTATCGATATAGACACAAAGGCGCACTAATTCTTTGCGCCGCAGCTTTTTACATGACCACAGGCCAATTACAGTCCTTCAGGAGGCAGCGGTTCCCAATTACAAACCTTTCAGGCACCCTCTGCCGACTGCAGTCACACTCACCAGAATGATTCGACTGCTTGCGGCTGATACACTCAATTTTGAGGTAGATGTAGTATAGCCACGCTTACGTGCTCTCAAATCCATATTTACAACCTTTCTTGCTTTTGTGCAGGCGCGCTACTGGTGTTTGGCAAAAATTGTTGCTGTTACTTTGGACCAATGCTTTATTAAGAATGAACACGGTTCTCTAAGGTCAGACATATAAGTCTCTTCCAAATGTTCTTTCCTTTCAAATGTTGACAAGTTTTCTCATGGTCAAACAGGTACGATGCATTTGTGTCGTGTAGTGATTTGGTCAGGACAGAAATCGTTAAATTCGATCACGATGCAATGGTTCAACTGCTCAGATTGCCGGTCGATGAGTTTAGTGTGCTACAATTTCCTGAGAAAGAAACTATTGTTCAAGATGTTGAAGGCAAGTACTTTACTCTAGAACTACGGATTGCTAGAGCGTTCCATGTCACCAACCATATCTCTGTTGCGACGATCTGGAACCCTCTTTGTATAAATGTGGTTTAGTGGCACCCAGGCAAATTCTGCCCTCTATTTAGTATTGTTAGACGATCTGTTTTTTCCTAAGCCCGTCCCTTTCCACAATCAAACGTGTACACTACATCTGCGTGCAGTACCTTCACTTGCGCTCCTCAGCTATATGTTTAGCCTGCTCTATGTTATCCATTAAACATAATCTGCCCCCATCTTGCCGTTGATCTCTGCCTGGCTGGTTGTTTATGCTTTCAATATAGGGAACATTTTTCAACTATGCAATATGTATTGTTCGTCCTAACTCAAACCGTTTTAGATGTCCTGCCAGAGTGCAGCTTGATTATAATGGGGCTCCAAAAAAGTAAGAGAACGTGGTGACGCAGAGAGGCCTCTTCTTTTATGTGTTGTTTTACATAGCAGTTCAGTCGAGCTGACCTAATCAAATATAGGGCCCGTCGACGCGGGCCTATGCAGGACATGCTGTGCATGTAATTACATCTGGCCCACTTTGTCATGGTTAGGCCCACTTGTTTAAAGGGGCCCGGTACGGTTTCTATTAGCTTCTCTAGGGTATTCTCTGTCCTTAATCTTCCTCTCGCAAAGAATCGGCCGCCGCAGCGAACAGAGCTTCCAGTCATGGGCGAAACAATACAGATCAATCAGCTTGACCTTGGATACACGGACGAACTGCTTCAGGTTCGACATCTGCATACATGGCAGGAGCCGCTGTCGGGCCATGATATAGATCATCATCTTCTACTCGATAAGCAGGTATTTCATTTGCACTTCTATTTATATCTATCGGAATCTATTTGTCCTTACATTGGCTGATTTCTACATTATGACACACCCAGGGAACATTGATTGTTGCGACGTCGGATCCTGTCGCACCCCAATTGGGTCAGCCAGTTTTTAGCCCGGGCAAAATTTACATGATATCTTCCTTCTTCGTTACCCCTGCAAGAATGATGGGCCGTTGTTGTTCACATAATTCCGAACTTCGTTTTACAAACATCAGTAGCTTCCGGTCTGTTCCTGAACCCCCACCGTCCGATTACCACCCAACCGACATGGCAGAACCAGTCCCTTTCTTTGACTTATACATGCGTGCACTTGCCAAACAGGAGAGATCAGGTTATCCAGTCGCCATATACATACACCATTCATTTGTTTTGTCTCGTGTTATTCCTGTAACCCTTCAGTGATTCATTATTATTACCCAGACATAATGGGCCGCATAGTCGCCATCTCCAAACCCTACATGGATACACCAGGCGATGTAATGTCGATGCACCAGCTCATTATCCTGGAAGATAATTGGCATGTATTCAGTCTTCATAAGTTTTTTGCTCCCCGAATGATGTGTGTTGCTTAGATGTGCTTCTTTGCTTTTACATGCAGCAATAGACAGATTTTAACCCAAATCGTCGACCACTTGATCATGCATGCGCTTGAGGCATTGGTTGTTAGCCAAGAGCGAAACGGGCCTGTCATTGCAACTATGACTTCTATGGTCGGCCACTGTTCAGATGGTAAGATTTGTGCCAACACAACATGCCGCCGCTTTGTCTGTTCCTCAGTTCTTCATTCTTTTGGAGTCAGGAAAAAATATTTACAAGAATACATGCAGTACAAGGGTCATTGTTGACCAAACCTTACGAATGCATAGGCCCAGCTTTTACAGGTTTGCATCCTTTTACAAAAACCCAGTATTATTTTAGATCATATCTTGCATACATTGTTCGCCTTTCGTTTCGATGCAGACATTCGAGTTCGAATATGCCGATCTTCTACATTAGTCAATGGCGCGCCAATGACATTGTCAGACCGGTCCAACGACATGGTCCATGCCACTCGATAGCAGACTTACTTTTCCTGTTGGCTGAGGATGATGCGCTGCACACTGCGCCTCTCAACAGTGTATTTTGCCTTAACTTTTACCAGGATTCACATACTACTTAAATTACACACCCCTAATCCTTCTTTGTTCTTTATCTGTAGGCAACATTTAGGTGTTTGGCGACAATTCAGAAAATCAATCACCAATCTGGATTCTTTACTTGGTTGTGCCCTGAATGCTCACCACAAAAACATCAATTGTCCCCGAATGATGTCTGTTCTAATTGCTCTGCATCCATTGCTCATGATGACAGGATTAAAAGGTACGCACATAAAAGTAATAGTATACTTAGACCGATAGAATCATCAAATTGACTCAGATTTCTCATACAACCATAAATAGTTTCTATATCTCAGCCGACGTCTGTGACGAGACATTTAAGACTTCATTCTTGATTAGTCATGAAGCAGCTTCTGCATTACTGCAAACATTTCCTCTATGGGACCTTGAAGACGCAGATGTTCGCCGTCTCCTCCAACCTGTCCTTTACCGCACTTATACATTTGAGATCAAAATGTTGCCTTGCTGTAAGGATAGGCATGAACGCTTTGAAGTTGTTGCAGTCTGGCATCGTCATGCTGCAGGTGTTCAGGATTGGTTTTAAGCGTCTTAGAAATAAGGATTCAGGGTTAGCATTTAGTTTTGTAAAATAGATTTCGTTTCAATGTCTTTGTGTTCCTTAAATTTGCTTTGCGAAAGCCCTTCGCTGTATTTTCGCCACCAAGACTCCAGGATGTTACCTCTTCCGATGTCATTGTAATGAACACAGATAGTCTCGCCATTTTGTACGTGGTCCTTCCTATCGGCAACTCTACCTCGGACCCCATGTGACTAAATAATGTGCTTGCTCGCAGACAACAAAAAAACAGGTACATCACTTGACAGCCTATCGATACATAGAGAGTTTGACCACCAAACTAGCTCTATAGTCTCTGGACCCATTTGATCATTAAGAAAGTCCACTCTAAAACCAAATTATGCAACTGCACGGCTTCCAAACCTAAGGCTCTTTATTAATGCCTGCAAATATGTGACTGATTTGTACACGGATGAGAGGAGATTTAACATGGACAGAGAGTACTCAGTGTTGCCCCAGCAACCTTTAAAAACAAGAAGGAACAAGACCCTAATTACTTGCCCAGTTTGCGTAATCAGTCCAGTTATGAATAGGTTATCGAAAACACCCGCTAGCATTATAACTGGGCCAATTTAAACCATGATGGATATACTTTCTAGATACATTCTTCCGCCCCAGTTGGGTCGATAGAAATGCAGTTTTGTAAACATACCATAACCGATTGGCCCGGCCCAATAGCTTTCTCCATCAAACCCTTCCACTTTGTCTCCTAAAATAAACTGCCTATCTTTCTGTCATTCAGATCACCCTTTGTTCGTAACAAAAAACCCTAAGTTATAAAACCGGCCAGAGAAACGCTGCCAGTCCCCCAGCGTCAGCATCTGCCCACACTTTCGCGTTGACTGTGAGTTCGATATTGTTTTTAATGGTCTTTCATTCCCTGTGTTTCGATTTTTGCTAGCCGTTCTTCTGTACCCTTTGCCGGCAAAAGTTCTACTGACCTATCTTTGGATTTAACGGGGGACTCTAAAAGTGTGTCGGTGAGGTTTTGAATAATCGACTTGGAAAGGGACATATGCATTAATCGAATGTCCTTCTAAACTAGACTATTTGTTGTTTTGCCGCTAAATGTCGACAGGTCTCCAAATAGCGAGCAACACATGATCTTTGTTGGTGCAATAACCTGTTCATTTTTACTGTTATTTCTGATAGCTTTCACATTTATTCTGGTGATCATATTTCTTCCCGCAGCTATAGAAAGCAAGTTCGTCCTGCACCCAAAACATTCCTGCCCACTGAGTTCTGTTTTTTGGCAAACACAGAGA